CTGGGGAAGGTGGGGGGGGCGGGGGGGCGGTGGACTCCTGCGTGCACCTGCTCACTCCGCGCCGTCCCACAGGAAGCGGGCCCTCCGGAAGATGCAGAACGGCTGGCGGCAGGGGGAGGGGGACCGCGGGAACACCACGGGCAGCGACAACACAGACACCGAGGGCTCCTAGCGGACCCCGCGCCGAGGCTGAGCACCGACGTCACTCTGAAAGGCTGCTGCATTTTTATTGCACGCTAGTCATGCGTCGTGCAAGTGCGGGCAAATGCAACCAAGTCAATAAAATGAGCACTGAACGCACACCGAGCCGAGCCAGTTGGGTGGATGTGTGCGGCGGGAGGCGCCAGGGGGCAGCAAAGCGCAGCGCGCCGCCGGCTTGCGAGAGCCCTAGAGGGCCACTTCCGTCCGCGGTGCCCATCTCAAATATGGCGGAAGCAGCCTCAGTGGCACGCGGCGGCGCGGGGAGGAGCAGCGGGACGCGGCAGGCAGGATGTTGCGGACCGCGCTGGGCCGCGTGCCGACGCTGCTGGGTGGCGTGCGAACCCGGGGACCCCGCCTGGGGCAGCTTTGGGGTCCCGGGGTTCGGCTGAGGGCCGCGGAGAGACGGAGGGGCTGGGCCTGGGGCTGGCGCAGCTGGAGCTCTGCGTCGGGTTCGGGGCCCGGGGCGGCACTGGGACGCGTGGAAGCGGCGCACTACCGGCTCGTCTACACCTGCAAGGTGGGCGCTCATCTACACCCGCACGGCCGGGAGCACCCGCGGCTGGTGGAGGCCACGGGACGAGGGCCCACAGCCCGCGTTGACCCATCCGGGAAGTGGGGTCATCTATCAGGGCGGAGTCCCCTTAGGGGGCGGAACCCGGAGGCGGGAAGTCTTCCGTTGAGGGTGGTGTCTTCCCGGGAGGGGTGGGGCTACCTTTGACGGACAGGCCCTCCTGCGAGAGGGGCGGGGTTATCTCGGGTGAGACCTGGGAAAGGGCTGGGGCTGCCCCTCGGGCTGGGGTTCATCCCTGGGCAGGTGTATACCAGGCCTAACCAGCTCTCTGACGTAGCCAGGTCTGTGGGACTCGGTCCTCCAAGCATATCTCCAAGCTGGGGTACCACCAAGGCGTGGTCATCGTGACCTGCCCTGGCTGCCACAACCATCACATCATCGCAGACAACCTAGGCTGGTTCTCTGACCTGGAGGGGAAAAGGTGAGACCACCCGGGAGGGGTAGGAAACAGTGGGATTGTGGTCCAGGAACCTACCCAGCAGCACTTCTGGCCTCCCTGGGGTGTCTCCACCTGGACAGCCCAGCCTCCATGTCAATTAGGAAACAGTAGGATTTGAACTTGAGATGAAGCTGAATAGCTCCCTAATGTGGTAACTACGCCTCCAGGCAGCCTGGTCTAGCTCTGGTTTTGCCTCCTCTCAGTGCTTGACCTCTGACCTCTCCACTGGCCTTGCCATTTTCTGGTCTCAACCTTTAGTCCTCTGTGGAGACTCAGGGCTCCAGATCCACAGCAGATAGCGGGTCGGGTGTCAGACCATGTGGACTGTGTTCTGGCCTGCAGGGCTAGTGCTCTCCTTTCTGGGAAGACAGTGGAGGGAGATCCAGAGCCAGCCAGTGCAGAGGAAGGACCTATGTCCGTGCCTGTGGTTTCTGAGCTCTGTGTCCTCCTGTGAGGACAGAGTGCTGAGAGCCATGGAGGTCTGTGAGATCAGCGTGCAGGCTCTAGGTCTTTGGCCTGTTACATCAGTTGCTGCAGAGAACCCCAGCCCTGATATATAGGAGTGGGGCAGGCCTGCAGGGATGGCTACCCAGTGAGAGACTATGGCTCTGGCCCTTCTCAGTGGCATACTGTTAGTTTCTTAGTTGCTACTTAATTATATGATCATTCACACATGGGGACAGTGCAGGAAGGGCTTGCAAGGCCCTGGTATCACTTGCTGAGACTGGTGTTCAGGTTCAAAGTGACCATTGGGTGCCCTTGAGGGAGCCCTGTTTAGGGCTGGTGCTGCCTCCCTATCTTGCAGGAACATTGAGGAGATCCTGGCCGTCAGAGGAGAGGAGGTGCGCCGAGTGTCTGGCGAAGGGGCCCTGGAACTGATTTTGGAGACTGTGGAAACCTCCGAGCCCCCTGCTGTTCCAGAAGAGGGTGAGGATCCCACTTACCCTGGCAAGATGGAACAGGGCTGACTCCTGCCTCCTGCACTCCCTCGGCTGTAGACTCCAGCCTGCCAAAAGATGTTCTGTTCATCTGGGGCCTGTTCTGTTTCTTGTCAGTAAACAGACAGTCACCTTTAGCTGCTGGGCCTGGGCTCCTCTGTCTTTGTTTTCTGGAGTCAGAACGACTCCTGTGAGCCCCCTCTGTGGCTTGCAGGACGACCCCTTGCCTCATGGCCATCCTGGCTCTTCAGAGGAGTCACCTCTACCTGCCCATGACAGGCCACATCCAGGTGGATGGGTGAGATGGAACTGGTCATAGAGTTAGATGTGTGGCCTTGGAAGGTTTCTGAGCCCCCGCCCCCTTCCTCCATGTTTACCTGCTGTCTCCTGGATTTTACTGGTGGCTTCCCTTGAGTGAGCCACTGCCAAGCTTAGCCCTGAGGTTTGGCCTACAGAAAAGTAGGGTGTTCACTGTGACCACAGACAGGCTGGGCACTGTTCAGGCTTGTCGGGGGAACCATCCAGGGAGAGGCCCCCAGGAGCAGCCTGTACCTCCCTGTGCTGCTTGGGGCCTGAGAGGAGATCTGTGACTGTGAGAGCACTTTACTATACTACACTGTGCTATCCTGTGTTACACCATGATACACTGCTACACCTGCCCTGGCATGTGGCTCATCTCCTAACTTTGTTTGATGTGCCCTCGGGATGGTCCTATGTTTAGGGAAGCGAGCAGACGCAAGACCAGTATGAGCTGTTCGGGGCTGTTGCGGGAGTGTTCTGGACCTGTGACCTTCAGCATTAATCACCCTGTCTGGCAGGGAAAGACCTGGGACAGGAGAGGGTGGAGAAGGCAGCTGAGTGGAGTACGACAGTGACATTGCCGCCCCATCCTCCAGGAACACAGCTGGTGATTAGCAGCTCACTCTGGACTGTGGGAGGCTGGACACACTTGCAGTGTGTACCTCCACTCGATTACCCCCCTGTCCTTCTCTCGGTAAACACCCTGCTATTATCCCACCCAGAACCTCCTGTGCTGTCTGTGGAAGCTGTCATCATCCAAAGGCTGAGCCTGCCCCCCCACCCCCAGCCTTCTCCCTCATGGATGGCACTGAGGTCGGAACAGGCTGACTGTATTACCTGAAAGCCTTCAAGTGCAGAAAGCCAGTGGGGCCTGGTAAGGCCACCTCACTGCCTCCCAGGTCTGAACCAGTGTTAGAGCAGGTTGGGGTTGGCTGGAGCTGGTGGTGCACAGCTGGATCTAGGGGGCCTGCTCTGGATGGGAACTGACTTGTCTCTTACGTGACTTCCATATGATGATGCCTCCCCACTTGGGCCCTTGCTGCTCCACAGACCCATCCCTCCTAGGGGGCTCTCCTGGACATCAAGCCTCACCTCAAGTTCTGCCTTCCACACAGACCAGTGGGGCAAAGCTGGATTCACACCCTGTTTTGCAGACTCACCTCTGGGCCACTGTCCCCATCCATGTGTCCCTAGGGTCAGACACCTGACAGTGCCTTGAGTTGCTCTGACTGGCCAGTTTCAGCTGTCCACCCTTTCCCTCCTTCAGTGGAGACCTCAGTAAAGGCCCCTGCACATACCTCAGTGCTTCTGCTCAGAAGAGGGTGTCGGATTCCCCTGGGTGCTGAGACCCGAACCTGGGTCCTCTGCAAGAGCAGCCAGTGCTTAACCGCCATTTTTTTTTAAAGACAGGATGGACTTGGACCTCTTGCCACAGGCCTTTTCCATGGCAACAGTGTTCTGGTGTTGGCTTCCCAGCACCTGAGCAATCCCAGTGTGCCTGAAAGAGTGGTTGCCTCCAAGGCTACCAGAGGGCCCCAGGCCCAGGCCCCAGCCCTAGGCAATTGTGGGCTTCTCTGGGTTGGTTTGCTGGTCTCGGCGTGTGTCGTCCCCATAGCTTCCCTTGCCCCAGGCCAGGCCGTCTCCCAAAGAGCTCAGTCAGGACTCCAGCCCCATGGGTGCTGCCTACCACCCGGACACTGAAGAGGAGGCCCTCTCCAAGCTACTGTTGTCTGGACTGGCCAAATCCTGTCTCTTTGACATGGATTGCTAGAACAATGGAAGCCCTATGGTTGGGGTGGGCAGCACCCAGGACTAATCCAGAGGAGGTTGCTACGTCTGGACCCCCACAGTGCTCACCAATGCACTGTGACAACTCTGGTCTCTGCCACTTGTCCCTGGAAAACCTGGACCATGAGGAGGGACAGTGAGAGGTGCTGCAGGCAAAAACCCTGGCTACAGATGTTGTGATGGAAACTTAACTCCTGGCCCTGACCTGCACTGTTCGAGCAGCCCTGTCCTGGGAAGACTGACTGGCACAAATCCAGACCGGAGACACAATCACTTGGCAGACTTTATTTTTGGGTAAAACAAAAACAAACGTACCTGTCGGGTTGGAAAGGACCCGTGGACAACATGGCAAACACGTGAGCAGTAAATACGCATGTACATTCAAGTATGCGGGCGGCCACCACATCCCGCCCGAGACCCTGTGCCCTGGCATCTGCCCTTAGCGTGCTTTTTCATGTCAGGAGTGGGGTCTCTGTTGAGCCTGGCCCTGCCCCAGGCTTTCTTCCTCAGGAGAGGAGGCCTAGGACTGAGAGGCTATACAGAGCCCTCCAGTAGGAGGTTCTGCAGGTGGTAGCTGGGACCAGGGGCAAGGGTAAAGATCATGGCTCCGAGGGTCTGTCTCATAGAGGCCCCATCAGGTCTCGCCTGAGTCTACATCCCAAGTTAGGTGTCCTGTGTCTGACTCAGGTATGTGTAGCTGGACCCCTTGGGGAGAAGGCCATGATGTCATCTCCAGTGGAGCGGGGAGGATGCTCACTGAGGGGGCCTGGAGGATCTTGTCCAGAGACCCCTCTAGTGCCAATGCCCACAGCCAGCCAGTGCTTACAGTACCAGACCCTGCCCGTGCTCTTGGCGTGGAGGTTTGCCCCATCCCTCTGCAGTAGATAAGACCCAACCTTTCTCAGAGGCCAAGTGCAGGGCTAGGGCTGCCTGGGCTTTGCAGCTGCCAATCTCCTGCAGCTGGGTTGGGTGCAGAGAGAGGCCAGGACAGGCCTGCTCTGGGGACCATGAGGCAGGGAGTGTGGAATGTACCTCCTGCATGACCATCCCAGGACCAGCTGGGGGACAGAACATGCCATGTCACTAGCGCCCAGAAAGAGTCTTTGAGGCCTCTCTTGGGTTTGGGGAGGTGGCAGCATTTCACATTTGGCAGGGCAGGGCAGGGCAGAGCCTGGAGAAGAAGGGTCTGGACAGCACCGGGGCTTGGGGCCAACATGCTGAAGGCCGGGCCTACGGCAGGGCAGGGCAGGACCTGCAGGAAGCTGTGGATCACGTGGGGACAGAAGCATGCCCTCCTCCACATGGCAACTCTGGCCTGAGCTTGCCACCCTGGGGTGGGGGTGACATGAGGGCTGTGTGCCCAGTGTCTGGCTCAGTGACATGGGCCAGGGGGCTGAACTGGCTCTCCACCATGGCCTTGGGAGGATTCAGCTTCTTGGGGGAATCATGGTCACCGTGGACAACTATGAACCCCCCAGAGTCCAGGGACTGGGGTAGGGTAGGCCTGGCTGTGGGAGCAAGGCCTTAGCTGGCACCTGGTTGGCACTGCTGCCGAGGCTCAGGCGGCCCACTGGCCTCCTGCTCTGGGCTCCCGGCGAGGTCCACTCGCTGCTCATCCATCCGTTTGGCCTGTACCCTCTGGATGAGGGTGAAGAAGTCTTCGTCTGGCATGGTGGGGCCTCGGGGCAGAACGTCAGGTGGTGGGCAGCGCTGGTCATCAATCCTGGAGGACTGGGCAGACATAGAGTGTAGGTTGGTGGTTCTGTTTTCTGGGCTCTTGGGGGGGCATCCTGGCACCAAGTGGGTAATGGGTTCACTGAGGCAGGTGGCACTCGCTCAGGAGGAATGGTACAATCCGGGTGGGAGTTGGTCCGGCCACCTCTGACCTCTTGCTGTCCACCTGCTGTTCTGGGGTGGTGCTGGGTGTCCTGCTCTGGCAGCATCTTTAAGAGATGTCTCTCAGGCCTGGATGATATGTGCTGGGCACAGAACAAGCCAGCTGCTACCGGACAGCTGTAAGGCCTACTCCTGAGACCTGCCGATCCAGGAATTGGCAGGTGTGGCTGTACCCTAGCACTTCCCTGGAACTTGGCACAGCCCTGGACTGCCCTAGACAGGCTTGGGGCCTGCAGCTCCAGAACCTGTCATAGGGACCCCCACCCCTGCCACATGGGTCCCTTTTGGGTCAGGCAGCTGACACCACAGGCCCTGCCTCTCCTGGTGTGGAGGCTGGGGGGCCTGAAAGGTGTCCACTTCTCTGCAGGGCCTGGAGCAGAAGGGACGGGAGCCGGTGCAGCTGCTGGCCTATGCGTGCTAGTGCACGGGGCTTCTCAGGAGGGGCTGGCTTAGAGGAGGCTGGAAGGACGCTGCTGTGGTTCTGGCTCCTCTGTGGGAATGAACATTGAATCTGGAAACTTGGCTCAGTGCAGAGGTGGTGCACCTACCCTGGTCATTCCCTGTCTGACTAAGCCCTACTGTATGCATGCCCGTTGGAGGGGAGCTGGCTTGTGAGATGAGTCCCCCTGCCCCCCAATGCGCTGCCAGGCCTGGGGTGGGTGGCTCTGCCTTGCAGCACCCCAGCCTTATCCCATTCCTTCTGTGTGTGGTAAGGCCCATCCACAGGCAGCTCTGCCCTGGTTCTGCACTCCCGGGCCTCAGCCCTCTATCACCTACCCATAGAATGTGGTTCCTGTTTGGGCCATCCCTGCCCTGTTCCTCCAGCCAACTGACAGCAGCACAGATCTCCTTGCCTCCTGACTGAGAGTGTCACTTGGCCCTCTGCTCTCTCTGCTGAGATGGAGATGCTGGAGGAGAGCTCCCCAGTCATGGCCTTGGGGACCCGGTAACTCCAAGTGTAAGCCTGCACTAAGGTGTATTCAGGCTGCTTGGCTCCTTAGAAAGAGGGCTGCTCGGGGCCTGTGCATCTGCAGATGGCCTTTGGTGGGCCTGCCAGATGCCTCCACTACAGCTGACACAGGGGCAACACAGGGCTAGCCTGGACACCTCCCCACCCATCCTCTCCCAGCTGCAGGCTCACCTGGTACTTGATAAGCATGTTGAAAAACTCATCTCCTGGCTCCTGGGGGTCCCCGTCACCTCGGAGGTGTCCCACATTGTTGAGGGTGATGCGTAGCCCAGGCAGGCTGCCTACACTGGCCCGCTGGTCATCCAGCCGGCGGCTCTGGGAACTGGCGATGAGGTCAAAGAACTCCTCGGTCTGAGGTGAGGCTGTCACGGAAGGCTGACCTGCAAGGGACAGAGGGTGAGGGCTGGAGATGGGGGCCACTGGGAGCGCTGACCTCTGGGACTAGCCCAGCTGTCCTCATGGGGACATGGCCCCAGTGTATCTCTGATGCCAGGCCCTGGGTCCAACCTTCCTGCCCCTGCCCTGGCTCCCACCCCCACCTCCCAGGGCTTCAGTAGGTGACAGGAAAAAGCCTTGGCCTCCCACGCGCTTGGAGGCTGGAGGCTGGGATTCGCAGACATGGCGTGTTCCAGAGGGCGGAGTAATTACATACTTCCTGGGGCACAGCTTCAGGGACAAGTGTGGGGGAGCTCTGGGTGATGGAGCACAGCTGGCCTGTCCCACCCATCAGAACCTTTGTGGGTTCAGTGCTGGATCTGGATGGTGGGCCCACCAAGGCCCTCTACTCACCCGCCCTTTCCTCTGGGATTGGGGCAGCTGTGGCCTCCGCTGCTCCCGCCTGGCCCTCCTCCAGGGGACAGCGCTGGTCGTCCATACGGCTGCTCTGGAACTTGCTCAGCAGATCAAAGAAGCACTCCTCGTCAGAAGATGGGGCCCTAGGGATGCTCTGGGATGGGGATGAGGGTATCAGTATGGCCGAGAGCGTCCCCTGCCTCAGCCTCCAGACGCACCTGTGGTGGGACTGCCTAGCCTGGCCTACACATTTCTAAGACTGAGTTCAAACTCAGGACCCTCTTAGGATGCTATCACCCTTGGCACAACGCCCCCAAATCTGCCCCTGCCTGCTGTCCTTACTTCTGTGGCTGCCTATCCCCAAGTGTCAGCCCTGCACAGGGCTCCATTTGCTTCTGACCCCCAAGACAGGCCCCCTCCAGTGTCCAGTGAGCAGACTTCTGTAAGCATGAGGCCAGGACGCCTACTAGATATGTGACCTCAGTGGTCAACCTGGGAGCAATGACGGGTGGACCGAGAGGTTAAGACAAGAAACCCCAAGTGCGAAAGCGAGGGTTCTGGTCTTCTGCCTCTTTCTGGGTTTAGGCCATACACTGAAAAGATCTTAGACCAGTATCAGCTCGGAGGACAGCAGCTGTGTGGGCATCAGGAGCCCAGGGTGTGAAAGAAGACACTAATTCCCCCTAAACCCCTACCCCTTCCAGTCCCTTGGTAACCCCCTGCCAGGCCCCCTGTGAGCTGCTGAGGTGATCTAGGTGGTTGGAAGGCAGGGCCTGGACCTCTGCTGGGCATGGGGGTTGGTAGACAGCTGCCTCCTGCCCAGAGTTCCTCCTTGAAGAAAGAGGACTTCCTGGAGTTCCTGCTGCTGGCTCTCAACTTCTGTTGAGTTAGAGGGCAGGACAGAGTTGTCATCTGTCTGTCAGCCTGTGAGTCTAGTCTAAGGCCTAGGTCAGAGATGGCCTAGCCTGGGTGACCTACCTGGGCCCAGGCAAGTCACGGGGTGGCAAGTCCTGGGAGAGGGTACTTCCAGGAGGGCTGGGCATGTGAGCCCTGAGCATCAGGCAACCTGGGGCAAGCTACCCCACCCAAGACTCAGCTTACACATCCTGAGGCTGTGGACATGACCTTGTCCTATCCTGTAGCCTGCAGGCTTCCAGAGCCTGACCTGGGCCTCAGGTTGGGGCAGGTTCCAGGGCCATCAGCTGTCCTGATGGAGCCAGTACCTGCCCTCAGGTCACCAGGGTCCACACAGAACATGGGGACAGTGACTGCGAAGACCTGTCTCTGTAAAGCTAAGTGCTGGAAGATTCCTATTACATGGCACTCCCAATGCCTGAAAGCATCCTGTGCACAAAGGCCCAAGCTCAAAGGGGTTATGTGACCTACCCAAGGTCACGCTGTGGCAAACAGGCCTGGTAGACAGCTCTGACTTAGGATGGGGCTTAGGAGAAGCCCTGATGGCAGAGAGGACCCAGCAGAGGAAGCTGTGGCATGGCAGAGAGTGGGGAGACCTCACTCAGTCCTCAGGCTGACCGTTCTCCAGGCTTTGTCCTTTCGCAGCCTAAATCAGGCCTGCCCGGACACTTTCAGAATCAAGAGAAAAGGGAAAGCTGCCATCCAGAGCCCCAGCTAGGGGACACTGAGCACTTGGGCTGATCCAGGTAGAGGCTGGCCAGCAGCTCCTAAAGGCCAATAAGGGCTTGCAGGTGCCTCCCTAGAGGACTGGACCTCTGCTGGGGTTGGGGGTGGGTAGATAGCTGCCTCCTGCCCAGAGCTCCTCCCTGAGAAGGGAGAGCTTCCTTGAGTCCATGCCCAGCTCTGGAGCCCCAGAGTGAGTTAGATGGCGGGACTCAGAGTTGTTATGGCTCAAAGGGATCTACCTGCCCACCTCGGTCCAACCTACACTGTAGCAAAGGGCTGCTTAGCAGTGCTCCCCAAGATTGTTCCAGGCTCCCCAGCTCTAGGGAAACCCTTGAAGGAGCTGGGTTTGTTCTGAGGTTCCCCTGCCCCCTGCTCCCCTTACTGAGAGGACAAGACTGCAGAGCTTTCCAGAGTTAGAGCCACGGGACTCTGATTCCCTGTGCCTATAGCCCTGCCCCTCCCTCTCCTACTCAGGAGCATGACCCTGAGCCTGACATCATAGGCCCTGTGTTAGGGTCCTGTGGGGACTCTGAAGGGCTCTATCCAGCCCCCCTTGCCTCAATCTCTCCTGTGCCCCAAGTCCTGGCTTGCTCCTAAAGTCTGAATGCAATCTCTTCTACTTTAGCTCAAGACCAGCTCCTACAGAGAAGGGCACAGACCTGGCCAGGCCCACCCCCACCCTGGCTGACAGAGGTCCTGGGGTCCCAAGACCCGCACTCACACTGAATCTCAGGTTCCCTCCAGCAGCAGCAATCAGGAGCTATGTGGGTGCCAGGCCACATGCAACCCAGGCAGGATGCCAAGATGATGCTGGGCACGGCCGTCACTACCTGCCCGAAGTGCCAAGTGCCACCTTGCTACCGCTGGGACCCACAGTATTCTCCTGATGTTTAAATAGGAGCTGGGGTGAAGGCTGGGCCCTCCCAGCACCCGCCCTCACTCACGAGGAGTGACGTGCACGCACACGCACACACACACACACACACACACACACACACACACACACACATTCACTCTGTAAACAGTGAGCTGGCTTCCCCAGGCTCAGCAGAGTACACCCCTCACAGCCTGTGGGCGGACATGCTAAAGGTTGTGGGGGCGGACGGCTTATTTGAAAGTCCTTTCCCACCTGACCCATGGTTCCCTGTGTTTCCTTCTAAAGCCAAATTAGGACCCTGGGAAGAGGAAGCCTTCCCCCAGCTTTGCTCCCGAGGCCACTCCAGACAGACCCACACTTCTAATTCCAGCCTGGGCAGCCTTAGCATTAACAGGGTGGCCTCTTGCCTGCCCCAGCCTCCCTCTGAGCCTGGGGAAAAGAAGTTCCTAGCTCCTGAGAACCTTCCTGTTATAGGAGCACAGTGGGCTGGAGTGGGACTGGAGGCGGCTGCCCTGGCAGGAAGGGTGGGCTCCAGGTGCTAAGAATACCCAGACTTCCCGCACATCACAGGCTGCTTGAGCCTATGGGGCAAAAGAGGGGGGGTGTTTCTGTCTCAGTTCTACAGCCTCAGGACCCGAGTGTCCTGCAAACAGGCTCCTGAGCCTGAATACAGCCTCTCTATGTCCCTGAACCCCTAAGAGCGTGATGATACTGTCCAGGCACAGCGGACACCTGATGACCCCCTGGATGGCCTCACCCTCTACCCACTGGCCATCAGTCTGTGTCTCCCAATCACCCAACCTTGTACCTGGTCATCAGTCCACCTATCCTACAAGTTCTGTGGGCTGCCAGGAAAGTTGAACATCCCCAGGAGGTCTGAGAACCCAGGCTGTGTTGTGAGTTCCTGCTGGGCTATCTGTCACCACAGCACACCCCCATCAGATCTGCAGACTAGCTGCGGATCAGGATGCTGACCCAGGCAGGGTAGGTGGTACCTCCCAGCCCCAGACTGGGAGGAACCCTGGGTAGATGCTTGCTCTCTATTGTCCCCTTCCAACCAGGCTCTACAGTTGTACACTGGCCACCTAGCATGTCCTCTATATGAGATCACTACCCAAGACCACGGGTAGAGCATATGCACCCCCACTGTCCTGCCCCCAGTACCTGTTGAGGACAAGGAGAGCCCTTCCCCGAAGGACCTCGAACTTAGGAACTATCCTGTGGCTGAGCTAGGGGCCTTCCCCTTTTTAGTCCCTGAGTCATTACTCTGCAACTTAGGAGACCACCAGGAGGCCTCTGAGACTTTGGGATACACTGAGGAGTTCCTGGCTGTGCCTCCCTCTTGGGTTTAACCAGAGGACTCCAAAGCTGGGATCCCTGACTAGGTTCCCTGAGACTAGCCTAGCCCCCCAGGCACTCTGGAGTCTCCAAGGTGGGTGTTGAGGAGGCAGCATCCCAAGGGCAGGCCATGCAGTCCAGTTCTTCTGGCATGAGTAGCTAAGTCCCAAGGGTCCCAGTGAAGCAGAGAAAGGGTGTGGGACACTAGAGGCCACCTGAAAACTGGTGATAGAGGTGGAAACTGAGGCTTAGAGAGAGGCAGAGTCAGTCTGCAGGAAGGCCAACTTGGAATGCCCATGGGGGCTCCCTGAGGCACCCTGACAGTTATAAGCACCCCCTGAGTGGCAGGACAGCTCAGGGCCAGGCAGAAGGCCCAGCAGCTCACTGCTCTGCCCTCTTCGGTAACCGGCTCAGCCTGACCTCTTGGGCTATGAGGTTAGATGGAGAAGCTTAGTGTTCACGACTGTCCCTTCCCGGCCCGGGAGGCACCTACCGTACGAGGCACCTGCACCCGTACGTCGGCGCTGTCCAGCGGGGAGTGGCTGCCCTCCCGGGGCCTCCTCTCAGCAGCGTCGGGCCCTTCCTGGTACTTCCTGCTCCTCATGGGAAGGGGAAGCGAGTCCCTGCCTGGCCCCCGCGAGTCCCCTGCGAGGTGGGTGTCTCCATTCTGCTCCTGGGGAGGGGGAGGCAGGCTGGACGTGGGCCAGGGCAATTTGGAACCAACGTCCCCCTCTCAGGACCCTAAAGGAAAGGTGGGACAGGCCCCCTTGCTTCCACTTCACAGGTGCACACAGTAGGCACTTGGCCTCTGGAGGAAGAGGAAGCAGAGAGAGCACAGGACATCTGATGGGCGCTGACCTCCCTGAACATCAACTTTCTCTTGCCAGGCAACAAGGGTGACCTCACGCCATGCCCCAAAGGCTGTCTACAACCAGAGGGATCAGAGAGGCCAGGCCACTGCCTAGGGCCACACAACACCCACAACCCACACTAGGCCCCCAAGATTCACCTGTCTGGGGTTTGCTAAAGCCCATTAGCTTCTCCAACGGTAATGACTATTTCCCTCTGACACAGAGTCTAGTGGGAAGGGAGCAGGTAGGAGTCCAGGACATGCAACCCAAGGGAAGGATCGTGTCAGAGGGTAAAGGAACCAGATGCTACAGGGGACCTTGAAGAGTACTGGTGGCAGATGGGCTCCTGAAGGCCACACAGCGCTGGGGAGAACATTAATCTCCCAGGGGACAGGACCCACTGAGGATACGGACAGCTTGGCAAACACCACACACTGGCCTCATTAACCCAGCACCCACACGCTGGCTTTGTCTCTCCTGACATCTGTTCTTCAGTCCTCCGGTCACCAGCCCTGACCCCAGCTCACCCGCTCCAGGGGGAGCCGCAGCAGGTCCCAGGTCTCGGCGCTTAGTCTCTGTGTCCTCTTGGGTCTGGCCCCTGGAAGAGAGCACAGCTTACTCAGCTTGATGCTAAACCTGAGCCTTGAGGCTTTACTAGCCCAGACAGGGGATCTGGGGGCCAAGGACCCATCAGCACTGTACTCAAGGGCCAGTGTGTAGGGGAATGTGGCGTCTAACTGAGAGGTGCCCATTCAGTCACCTGGCTGGACTGTGGGCATCAGACAAGCTATCCAAGGCCTAGGGACATATCTGCCCTGAAAAGGAGCACAGTAGGGCTGGTGTTGGTAACTCCTGCCCTGCCCTGATGGGGTGCTCTGCCAAGCCATGCCCTGTGTCTCTCAGCTTAGATGGCACTATTCCTTCTGCCTGGAAGAGAGCCCCCACACACTACTGCATCCTTGAAGCCACCCTGCTCTCCTCACCCCACTTCCTGACCCCAGGTGGGGCACAGGGGGCATGGAGGAGCCTCTGAGATCCTGGTCTCACTGTGGGCCACCTAGGCTATGGCAGCAGTAACAAGGCTCAGGCCAGGCTTGCTGAAGGGCCTTCCCCTGGACTCCTTTGCAGGACTCGGTACTGGACAGCTGGGAGTGGGCAGGGCCTTGCAGGGATCTGAACTAGGCCTTGGGCTTCCCCTGGAGAAATGTCCCCAGCCCTTGTATCCTTAGTCACAGCTGGTGTGGGAAGAGCAGCTGCCTGACCTGGGACTGTCCCGTGCTGTCTCCAGTCCCTACGGAGGTCCCTGGGAACCTTCAGACCTCCATCTCTAGGTAGGGTATGGAGTAGCTCAACCCTGGTCCCCAGGTACTTGGGTCCTTTCCCAACACAGGCAGCAATGGGCTGGAGGCTGGGGAAGTGAGCCCAACTTGGGCTCAGATCATCTGCAGGGCCCAGGTCCAGGGAGAGCGTGCCTGGCAGGGACTGTCCACACAGCAGAGCCAGCCGACAAAGTGACTAACAGACAACACTGGATGGGACTAAAATGTGAAAAGCCAACCCAAGGGACACCCTGGGAGAAGGGCCAGGGTCAGCCCAGCCCATGGAAGTGGTGTGTGAGAGAGGGGGAGACAGGAGCAGAGCACGCCCAGCAATCTGGAGACCCCCCGCCTCTACCCTGCTGCCCTTCCAGGAAGACCAAGGTCTCACCTCACAGCCCAGAAGACCTCCTACCCCTTACCCGGTCCTCCAAGAATCTATCTTCAGACAAGCTCTGGACACCTACTGCCCAATAAGGCACTAGATGGTGGGTGGGTATCCAGGGCAGGGCTTGTGAGGCAGAGAAGAGCAGTGAGGGGGCTGGGCTGGCGTAAGCACCCACAAGGCCTGAGTTGGCACTGCCCCAGAGGGCTCACCCTGTAAGGATGTTGAGGGGACACCCAAGGTGCATGGGTGTGGGGAGCTAGCCAACATCTCTGACCCATCTACTACTGCATTACAGGATAAAGTGGTCAGTGCTGTATTCATGAAAGTTGGCAGCAAAGCCCTGGCAGGAAGGAGAGGGACTCAGGGCATCACCCACACCCAACCTTGACCTTGGGCTCTCGGCTCACACTCCTACCAGGATACCATGTCCCCAGGGGACTAGAAGCTAGCACAGGTGTTGGTCACTGGGCCTCCTCAGAGCACCTGGACTTGGGGGGTGGGGAGGATCCATGGCATCACAAGCCCCTCCCAGCCTCTGCAGGAGCTAGATTAGGAACCTGAGCAGGATGCCCCCATGAAGGGAAGGAACCTGACCAAGTGGTATAGCTGTCTGAGGTTTTCAGGGCAAATGTACCAGCCTGAAGAGGGGAACAGTTGAGGGGTGCTGGTTGGCTGATGGCTGTCTGAGACCACCCTATGGGGTTCAAGCACACCCGGTGCAGTGATAAGGGCTAAGGACTAGCTGGGGTGCAATGTCCAGGCTCTGGAGGTGCCAAGGGGGGCCTGATGGGGGTTGTTTCAGGGGCTCAGGCCTGGCGGCCAGTATTCTCTACACCTTTCCCCATTATCTGTTCAAATTGTGGGTTCCTAGATAGATGGATAGATTAGGGGTTAGGAATGTAGCTCATCTGGTGGAGTGCTTATCGAGTATGCACAAGGCCATGGGCTTGGTCCCCAGCACCACATAAATGGGGTGCTATGATCCTGGCACTCTGGAGGTGGAGGAGGATCAGAAGTTCAAGGTCATCCTTGGCTACATAGTCTGAGGCCAGCTGGGCTCCATGAAACCCTCAATAAAAATGATGGGGGCTAGAGAGATGGCTCAGCAGTTAAAAGCACTGGCTGCTCTTGCAGAGGACCTGGGTTCAATTCCCAGTACCCACATGGTGGCTGACAGTTCCAGGGGATTCAACACCCTCTTCTGACCTCTGAGGGCATTGCACAACGTGAGTGCCTACATACATGCAGGCAATACACTCATACATATAAAATAAAAATAATAAATAAATAAATAAAAATGAATTGTATGGAGGACAAGACCAGAGGGAGGCCAGTGCAGCCCCCTAGGCCTCCAGACCAATCCAGAGTGAAAGTCTAGGGCATCTAACAACCAGTGACACAGGTGCCGTGACGGGAAAGCCACAGGGAAAAGGGGATAGAGGACTCCTGGGCTGGGACTCTGAGAGAGCCAGCCTTGTAACCTAGTCTCAAGTGTCCAGGAAACAAAGCAGCTGGCAGGACACGTCCATCCAGTGGGATGTGGGGGCTTCACCCAGGAACTGTGGAGGGGCCCAATGGGGAGGCTACAAGCCAGCCCCTCTGCACACCCCAATATGGGTCCAAGCATCCCGCCTGCTCCTCCTACTCTCAACACAAGCCCCTCCCTCCACAGAGGGGTCCTCCACCCCAGCTGAAAATGGCCCTTATACATTCAGGCATGGGCGGAGCTGCAGCAGCTGTAGACCACATGCCAAGGTCCAGTTTTCTGAAGGGCCACTCAATACCCACTCCACATCCAGATTAAGAGGGTAGCTCTGAGAGAGAAACAATGTAGATGCATGGAGCTTGGGGACATGGAGCACGGGGACATGGAGTGTGGGGGCATGGAGCACAGGGGCATGGGGACATGGAGCATGGGGACATGAAGTGCGGGGACATGGTGCATGGGGGCATGGAGCACAGGGGCATGGGGACATGGAGTGTGGGGGCATGGAGAGTGGGGACATGGAGCATGGGGCGTGGGGACACGGAGCGCGGGGACATGGAGCGTGGGGGCATGGGGCATGGGGACATGAGCACAGGGGCATGGGGACATGGAGCGTGGGGGCATGGAGCGTGGGGACATGGAGCATGGGGACATGGAGCGTGGGGACATGGAGCACAGGGGCATGGGGACATGGAATGTGGGGACATGGAGAGTGGGGACATGGAGCGTGGGGACATGGAGCATGGGGGCATGGAGCGTGGGGGCATGGTGTGGGGGCATGGAGAGTGGGGACATGGAGCACAGGGGCATGGGGACATGGAGTGTGGGGACATGGAGCACAGGGGCTTGGGGACATGGAGTGTGGGGACATGGAGCACGGGGACATGCAGCGTGGGGGCATGGAGACATCTGGGCCACCCATGTAAACCACTGGAACTACAGACCAGAGCCGGCCCTTCACTCACCACATCAAGTGAAAACCTGCTCCATCTCCTGACTGTCTCTCATTCACCCCTCAGAGGCTTGGAGGGCGAGAGTAGGTTTCCCCAACTTGTTCACAAGGCCTTGGGCTCTCCACCGTGATACCCCATGGTGGACCCAAGCTGTGGCAAAGTTGGGGCTGTCTTTCTGAGCCACACCCTGTGGCTGGCTCCATGGCAGCCCTCCTTATGGTGCACAGACAGGGTGAGAAGCCAAATTTGCCCAACTAAATGCACCCTCTGTCTAGGTGACAAGGTCAGGTCCAGTCAGTTCAATGGCTGCACCTCTTTGGCTGAGCCACCCCCACTGGAAGCCTCAGATCCTGGACCCCTCCTTTAGCTTCCTGTCCCTCCCACCTACAGGGCAAGGTCTGGAAACTTCTCCATCAGACCTATCCTCACCAGAGGTAGACCGTCATATTGGGTAGGTTGCATGATCCCTGTTCCAGCCTACACTCCCACAGACAGCACCCCATGCCCAGCCCATGACACTTTCATCTCCCAAGATCTGGAATCTGAGAGCTTTTCACCCAGCGGGACCAGTGTCACTGTCCCTCACTTGGCTCTTGAGTTGCTCCCCATGCCAGAAACGCAGTGAGGTCCCCCAGCTAGATCTGCTTCCTCTCTGCTGGGCTGGCAGGTGGTCCTCCTCATGCCCCCCACTAGCTGCAGCCTCATCTTCACTCAGACTCAGCACTCGGGTCCCTCAACTGACTACTGCTCCCAGCACTGCCGATGGCCCTGCCTCCTGGATGGCTCACTGAGGCACAGGGGCCGTGGTGTAGGGCTATAGCCCACACCTCCCCAACCCCTCAGATACCACACCAAGCGCATCCCTGACCCAGAGATGGGAAGGGACCCCAGGGCATGTTTGCCACAGGACCTCAGCAAGCTGCCCTGTGCTGATGCCACCAATGTTGGGGGCCAGAGGATTAGAGGGGCAGTAGGAGATGCAGAACAGAAGGCATATACTGTCACTGTGTGTGGGGAGGGATGGGAGGAGGGTAAGCGATAGCCCAGACCTGTTGGGCAGGCAGAGGGGAAATGGAAAGCCTCACAGGAATTGGGGCCAGCTCCCCTTCCCCTTATGTGCTCGTCAAAACGGCATGTGGAAGCTCTGTCCACGTGGCCTGGCACCCTGGACGGCATGGTCAGGACTGTGAACTGTCAGGGTTTCAGGACAGCCACACAGCCAGGGGGGCTGGACAGGGAAGTGGCTGGCAGGGTGGGGCCCCACACACTGGGACAGTTTCAGTGCCCTTTCTGGCTAAGAAGGGACAACGGGGTGGTAAGGCTACACCCTGCCTCAAGGCCAGCAGAGTTCTGTCCTCCTGTACAAGAATCCCTTGTTTGTATCAATCAAGTCAGGAGAGGAAAACGGAGGCTTGGATACTGGCCACTGCCACACCTCACAATACACACCACTCACATTACTCAAAGGCACATTGCTCCCCACTGCCCACTCAAATTACTCCCACTGTTGCAAACCCACAACAAGTGCCCTTGTCGCACTGTCACACAGGCCACACCCAAGTGTGAGTACCAAACCCACCAGGGCACGCATGTAACTGAAGGCCGATCCCCTCTACCCTCTCCAGCCATAGCTCCCTTTAGTCCCTCCTGACTCGATAAATGAATTCCTCCCAGTCCTCCACCCAGTTAGGTTTGTACCACTGGGGTGCCCACTTGACACCCAGCACCAGAGCCACACTGACTGGTTCTAGATATACACCTGTCATCTCCAGCTTCCCTGGGCCACTTATGAAAGGCAGGACTAGCCCTCTGCCAGCTCTTGGTACTGTCAAACAGATAACTGAACAGTGTTGTTGATGAGAAAGCCCTTTGGTGGCTCCTCAGTGCCTCGGCTGAGTCCAGCTTTGGTTTGGCTCCCCAACCCTGTTCCTGCCTGGCTCACCTGAGCGGGGGTCTCCCCCAGGGCTACCCAGACTGTCAAGGTGCCTGCCTGCCTTCAGCAGCTGCATCTCAGGGCTTCAGGGCACCAGACCCTACTCCCTGCCGTCCTCCCGGAGGAAGGATGGACTCTTCCCCAGCGTCCGGGCCGATGACTTCCGGTAACCCTGTGGGGAGAGGCTTCCGGGGCCCACAGCTGGGAAGGGTCTGGCATGCAGGGCAGAGGAGCCGGTGTGGGGAGGACAGAGCCGCCTTGTCTCTGGCCACTCACTCGTGACATGCCCCCCTTTTCCTTGGCTCAGAGGAGGAGGAAAGAGTCAGAACTTGGAGCTGACCGCCTCTGTGGGAGTCCTTCCAGAAGCTGGCCAGCCCTGGCTGGGAGAAACGGGCTGTGGGCTGTGCCAGGAGCTCAGCAAGGAGCTTACCCACCTTGGGAAAATCCCAGTCGGGGCAGACACGATGCATATGGGATCGGGCAGCCCTCTGACCCATCCCGCCCCACCAGATACCATATTCCTTGTTTCAAGGAACAGCTGAGGATCCCAGAAGCCTTTGCTTCTTCCCCTCTGTCCCCAGACCTATTTCTCAGCTAAGGTCAAGGCCATGCTAAGAAACCCCAAGGGACCTGGGGCACCCATGGCAACAGGTATCCTTTCTGGATATCTCTAGAGACTGGAGTTGGTGGGTGCCCCTGGGAAAAGCCCATGAAGATTTCAGACAAACTCAAGAACCAGAGAGCTGGGCCATGTGTGAGAGGCAGCTGGCTCCCTGCCAGGGCCGCATATTCCTATCCTAAAGCCTGCATGGTCTCAGGAAGTCAGCTCAGCAGGGCACCCCGCATCTCCCAGCTCCTCCCTTGTATGTGTGTATTAACCTATTTGCTTTGTGGAGAACATTTTGTCCTTTTGTTCCCTGTGTGGCCAACCTGCATGGGGTGACCAGCAGTCTGTAAATGGGGTCACTGGAGCGGCATCTTCTGATTAGTGCCCCAGGCAGGCACTGACTGGCTCAGCCTCCCACAGCCCCTCCCACTGTGTGTGAAGATCAAATCAAAGCATGGTTGATGGTTGCCTGGGGATGAACCCCCAGGGTCATGAGAGGGAGGGACTCAGAGTGACCAGGGGTCCATGCTGTCTCAGACAGTGCAAAACTGGCCACCATCCCCTCTGCCCATGGTGTCCTCAATTGCCATACTGAATGTTATTCTGTCCCACCTCTTCAGTCTTCCCTGATGGCTGATTTGCCCTGGTGGGGACCTGTCTGTCTTCAGAACTCTGGGCACCCTGCTTTTCCCCACATCATGGTGCCAGACAGTTGTCTATCCCTTTGTCTCCCTATCCCCACTGTGAGCTCCCTCGGGCAGTGGGCAATGGTCTTTCCTGGGCCCAGAGCAAGGATGGGGGAAACGGGTGCTGGGATGGGGTGCAGCCTCTTCCCTTACTAAGCAGATGTCCATGACTCCCTCGTTTGGTAGACCCACCCCCTGTGCCCTGCATCTAGGAGTCAGCACTGACCTACGTCCTTTCCCCCAGGGTTTCTGTCTTCCGCACCCCTGGTCAGATGCCGCCCTGACTGCATTCCAGGCCGAGGTTTGAGTCTGTGAGGAAGCAGAGCCCCCCAGCCCTGAGCGTCAGAACTCACCTTGGGCCTCGTAGCCAGCCAGGTCTGGCTTCTCTGCAGCTGCTGGACTGGTCAGCCGGCCCAGTGCCAACTGCAGCTGTGCGACATTCATGCGGGCCGTGAGCTCTCCATTGCGGTCCCCAATCTGCAGCAAACGGGTGGGTGAATGGGCAGGTGAGGCTGGGAGCTCTGCTCCCAAAGTATTGATGACAAGCCATCCAGTACACTTTCCCTGGCCTGTTGGACAGCCTGGGCTGACCCCTGACCCTTGGGTTTCTAAGGGAACAAGTCCTGGAGGTAGAGTCTGAGGGCCTATCCCTAGGTGTCCTGACAGCCCCATGTCCATACCAGAAGTGCTCAGGGTCTTGGGGCTGCCTCCTGTGGGTGGTCAGCTTGGCCTTGGCTATGCCTGTCTCAGCCCCAGGGCCTTTCTCCCCTTAGGCCCCACCAGCCTCTTGGGTACAATCCCAGTATGAGGAGCATAGGGGTGTGGGGCTCAGAGGGCTCTGGAGACCTCTGTCTGTACTCCAGTGGAGGGGGGTCTCTGGACAGGGCCTTTGCTGCTCAGGACCACCCTGTCTTCCCACCTGTACCTGGAGGCCCCTGAGGCTCTTCTTGGTGTCATGGGTGGTGCCAGGTCCATCCTTAGCTACGGAGGCCAGTGTTCACTGGGACATCCCTGCCCTGTTCACAGCCACAGGGGACTGGGCAAGGAGGGAGACTGAGCTTCCCAGGAAGGTGTCCAAGAAGCCCCTGGGCAGCAGGACATTTGTTTACCTGGGCTACCTCCAGTTCACTCTCAGCACCCTCGTGACCCAGCCTGGCCCAGTTCCATGGGGGGAAGGGGGAGCTGGGATCCACACAGGGGATCTAAAAGTGGAGAACAGGTCCTTGCTTCCCCATGTACCCAATGACCTACTACACACACAGATGAGTGGGAACTGTCCTCAGGAAGACCCATAGGAATGGTCAGAGAAGATGACAGAGGCACCCAGCAGAAGACCTGGGGTATGGGCCCAGCTCACCTCCTGGGAGATCTGCAAGTGCTTCTTGGCAAAGGTCAGGGCCTGCGCTGGGCTCCCCATGGACACGTAGGCATTCCCCAGGCTCCAGCACGCCCGACCCTCTCCCACCCTGAGGAAGACAGAGAGAGTCCAAGCCTGCCCTTCCAGAACTGCCTGTTATCCCAGGTCCCTGACCCTCTCCCAACCCTGGCGTGGGTCACCTCTGTGCCCACGAGAGATATACCACCAGCACCTTATTGGCTGCAAGGACCCACGGCTGGGGGCGCCCACAGAACCGGCTCCTATACAGGGAAGGGCCAACCAGCTTGAGTTTTTGTTCTTTCCCTTTGCAAGCATTACACCCAAGTTGTGTGGCACAGCGGGCCCTGAAGCCACTTGGGCCTGTAGGGACCTGCCCTGCCCCCTAGTGGCTGGTAAGGTAATCCCCCCCCATTTGCTCCTCTTGGGCCTGTAGGGACCTGCCCTGCCCCCTAGTGGCTGGTAAGGTAATCCCCCCCCATTTGCTCCTCTGCACCTCCAGCTGCTCATGTTTCAAATATTTTGAGCCACAGGCAACTCAAGCCTACTGTTCCAAAACCATGCACTCAGCGGTGTTCAGCCTGTTCCCACGGCTTTGTAGCCACCACCCCTACCTAGTTCCTAGTATCTAGAGCACTCCATCACCTGTCTCTCTCGAAGAAAACCCTGGGGACACTTACAAGGACCTCCCCCTCCTCCCACCCCACTGCCTCTTTGCTGAGCCTTTGATCTGGGCCTGCCACACCACCCAGCATGGAAGGCTGTTCCAGAGTTGAAGGCCATGAGGTTTATGTAGACATGGCCAGAGAGAAGGGAAAGCTCCCAGTTTCTGCCGAGGACCCCTTTGGGCGGCTGGCCCTGTGCACCTGTTATATTGTTTCCCACTGAGGGGCAGGCTGAGGACCTGGGGTGGAGCGGCTGCTCTGGCCACACCGTGATCAGCAGGGGAGCAGGGACTTGTACCCATGCTGTCACTGTAACCCAAGCCCCCTCTGACCCAGCTGTGGCCCTGTCCCCACACACCTGTCAGCCAGCTCCTGGGCAATGACCAGGTGCCGCAGGTGGTACTCAGCGGCGCGTTCATAGTCCTGCAGCAGCGTGTAGGTGTTGCCCAGGCTGTAACAGGCCTGTGCTTCCACTGCCTGGTCCCTGAGCTGCCGGGACAGCTGCAGCGTCTTCCTGTGCGGAGCAGGAGAGTCGGTGCCAGAAGGAGGGAGGTAGGGTCTCCCTCCCCTGGGGGCTGATGAGGGTGGAGGGTAGAAAGAAGCATCTCCAGCCTGGGAGCCTGGGTGGGGTGGGTCTCAGGGCATGACCATATCCCCATTCTCCAATGGATGCAGCATTCAACCTGCCCCCGCAGGTGCGTGTGGGTGCACGTGTTCTCACTGCACTGCGGAGCTGGCAGGCCACTAAACCACCCTCAACTGATGCTTCTCTACACGGGTCCCAGGACTGACTGACTGCCTACAGCTTAGAGCCCTGAGACGCTTGGCTCCATCTAGTGGCCACCACTCCATCCAGGAGGCAGCTGACTCAGAGTCCTGGCACAAGTTGGGACCTTTCCCCCAACCGCCACATGAGTTTCATATACTGGCCCTTCTCAGGGCAGCCTGAGACCCACCTGACTCCCGGGGACGCTAAGTGGTCAGACCCTCCCATCATGGGGTAGGCATCTCTCTGTCCTGGTATCGATCTCCCTAGGGCCAGCCCTCCCTGTCTCTGGGTGCTGGGGGCCAGGGGGTGTCTGCTTACTTGTAATACTCAGCAGCCACGTCAAAGCGCCCCAGGAAGATGTGGGCATTGCCCAGGTTGCTGTAGGCCCTCCTCTCGGCTGCCTTGTCTCCAAACTCCTTGGCAATGGCCAGGCGCTACAAACAGACCCAAGTCCGGAGATCACGCAGAGCCCTGAATCTCAGGCACACACCAGCGATGTCTCCCTGCCCAGGGCCCTAGCCCCATGTCTGCATGCCCAGGGGAACTGACAGGAGGCACAGGATGAAATTCAGAGGAAGCCAGGCGGTGAGTAGGGTACCTCTGCTGCCCTGCTGTCAAGGACTGTGGGGGGTACCCTGGGCTCTGCTGTCGAGGACTGTGGGGGGTACCCTGGGCTCTCCTGTTGTAGCAGCCCTGCCCCAGCACTCGGATCCATCTCACCTCTTTATGGAAGGTTGTGGCCTCAGTGAAGTTGCCCAGCAGGTAGTGGGTATTACCCAGGTTGCCATAAGCCCGGCCTTGGGCTGCCCGATCGCCTAGCTCCTTCACCAGGGACAGGTTCCTCCTAGGGGTCGAGTTTGTCTGAGCTGTGTCCCTCTTGACACAAGGGAAGTGGCCACATCCCTTCCTCCTGAGGTCTCCCAGGGGTGTGCCGTGGACACTGGTTGGCCCAGGATGGGTTCCTTGGCTCTGGTACCATTTGAGCTTTAGGGTTAGGGGTTTGATCAAACCCCACCAGTCCCTGGTGGGTGTGTGTGTCAGGGGGCAGGGTGACCAGGGAGCTGTGGGCCTGGGTGTGGGCAAGGATTCCATTCCTGACCAGACCCTCACATGGCACACATTGGCTCAGGAAGTGTTTGTAGAATTCAGAGACATTCAGACAAGCCCCGAACTCCTCAATCCCCACCTTGTGGGGCTGGTCCACCCCACTCACTCACTCATAGAACTCAGAGGCCCTGCGTAGTGTCTCTCGGACATCAGGTGGCAGGTGCCCGGGGTCCTGCGCAGCATTCCAGGACAGTTGCTTGCCCTTGGCGTGGTACACATTTCCAATGTTGTAGAGCGCCCTTGCCTCCCCGACCTGCAGGTGGTAGCAAGATTGTAGGAACGTGCTCCACAGTCCCCCAGGGAGCTTGTCCCAAGGTGCACACGCAGAGGCTGTGCCAGTCCCCTGGCTGGATGGGTCCCTGAGGGAGAAGAGAAGCCAGGCTCTCCTCTTCCTCTCTACCCTCTGCCAACTGGGTGGCAAAGCTGCCCAGGCCCACATCTGTCTGCTAACGTCTGGGGGTACGAACTCCATCAGCAATGGGAAGGGCAGAGGGTCCCGGGGGCCAGTTGCCCACCTTGTCCCCCTGCTCCTGGGCGATGTCCAGGTGCCGCTGGCAGCAGACCACAGCCTCATCAAATCGGCCCAGGACCTTCAGGGTGTTGCCCAGGTTCCCGCTGGCCTTGGCCTCCCCCATGCGGTCACCAATGGTCCTAGAGAACAAGCAAGAGTGAGGGGCCAGGCTGGCTGGGACCAGAACTGAGCAAGGGCCAGAGAAGCCTTGGAGGAAGAGGACTCACAGCAGAGAGTTAACTCTACACATCTGTCCAGTGAACCCTTGTTCAGACTGGCACCAGATCTGGGCTGGGTGATAAAGACAGGACAGGGGCTCCCTGGTGAGTGGGGGAGACCATGGTCTGGCTGGGAGGGCACTGCACCATCTAGGGAGTCTGGGCAGCTGAGGCCTGAAGGAAGAGCAGAGTGGGATGTGGAGCAAGGAAGGGCCGAGTAGGACGCAAAAGGGACAGAGTCAGAGGCTGGATGAGACTAGAGACACTGGGCTTTGAAGAACTTCAGGAATGGCAGGAGGCCTGGGCAGGGCCTGTGAAGGAAGTTCACCACAAGCCCGAAAGCGGGTGGAGTCCTGGGGGGGTGGGATCAGGGAGCACCTGCACCATACAGAGCAGGTGGGAAGAAGCCTGGCACCCCAGGACCAGGGGAAGGAACACCTGTGGGTGGTGATCAGAGACGCACTCAGGGAGAGTCACTGTCAAACAGGACACACGGACAGACAGACAGACAGACAGACAGACAGACACACACACACACACACACACACACACACACACCTCAGCTCGGACACAGCTTCTCAAGGGTCCCAGCTGGACTCCCTAGGCTCCGAGAGTTCACATCGTAACTGCCTCTTCCCGCCTCCCTAAGGGCAGGTCAGTGTCCACCTGGCCACCAGGCCACTGCCATCAGACCACATCCCACCAGCGCTTACCGTGCCAGCAGCAGGTCATGTTTGTGAAACTGCAGTGCACGGGCATACTCCTTCAGGTAGAAGTAGGCATTGCCCAGCTGGCTGTAGATGGCGCTCAGCGTCTTCAGGTCCTCGGTGCCCACTTGCACAGCAGCCTCGAAGAAAGCTACGCCTGCCTTGAAGTCTCCTGCCTTACACAGCCGCTCACCTTCCAGGGCCAGCTCCAGACATGAGGCCTCCATCCTGGGCAGAGGAGGGATATCACAGCTCACCCCTGGGGACCCTCTGTGGTCACACTGGGGGTCACAACATCCCTCGGTGGTTTTGCTCACAGATGTGTTGGGGATTCGTGCCTCAGAGTAGATGCTGGCCACAATGGCGCTCTAGGCTGGCACAGCTGTCGGCTCATCTTTGCCCCAAATTTAACGCCCGCCCCTTGCCACCAGAACGAGCCTCAGGGTGAAAGCTTGAACACATGGGGCTGATGTGGTTGCTACTGCCGCAGCCAAGTTCCAGGGAATAGGAGCAGCCTGTCCACCCTTCCCAGATCCCAGCAGCAGGGGCTGAGGGTCCCAGGCATTCCCCCACGCAGTCCGAGATAGGCCCTCTGATCCCCTCTGAGGACATGAGTGGCTGTGGGGTGGGGGAGTGGGGCTGATGGAGACCTCATCTGGATGACTTCATACCAGCCCCACCCCCTTCTCACCCCAGGGCAGGAACCTGGCCTCCCTGCCGCAGAGTTTGGGGAGATTGCTGCTAAGTGGCAGGGCTGTCAGGGCTGAGGGCCAACAGCCCCTCTCTATCAGGTCTAGACGGAGAAACTGCTGTGGGCCGCCGGGCAGGGTTGGTCTGAGAAACAGCTGAGGAAGCAGCCAGTACCCATGTCCCGGGGTGGACCCAGCCTCCTGCAAAACTGTTCCAGCTTCCGTCCAGGAACCCCACCCTCGAGCAAGAGCCTAGCCTGGCCTAACGAGTGCAAATGCCCTCGTTGGTGGCAGTGCCAAAGAAGTCCTTGATCCTCGAGCCCTGACCGACCCCGCGGCCCCCGCACTCCATGTCTGGAGACCTGGAGAAGCAGGGGCTCGTTCCAGCCGCAGACCAACCTGTCATTTTCTCTTCATTGATTGAGTTGGGACCTTCCTATGCTGCCTAGGCCCAAGCAATCCTCCTGCCTCAACCTTACCAGTAACTGGGATGACAGGCATGTGCTTACTGGACCAGGTGGTGCAGAATGATTTTAACATCTGTACCAAGTGCCCTGTTGCACCTTAAAGTGTTGGCCCCTCTGTGTCATGAGACTTGGTCAACAATGCAGAACAATGTGGGGGAGGTGTAGCGGGGGGACAATCAAGGACAACGATTCCAAACATTTTAACACAAACCACAATGCCGTGTTATCAAGAAAATGGGGGCACCTCAAACTTTCCCAAGATAACAGTGCCACGTGAATAGATGGTGGAGTCCGTAGGCCCCTGAGAAGCTGGCCCAAGTACCCACACCCCTGGGTTCAGAGCTTTGTGCTGGAGAGGTCCCACCCTCATGGCGTAGGTCCCCACCCAGCCACTGCTGGGAACCCAGGCCACAGTGACCTATCTCCTTGGTATCACGGAAGCCCAGAGCACCCACTCGCAGGGTCCCCGGTTTTCTTCAGAAATAGCCTCCTTGCCCTTCCCAGATCCTTAGCTCAAGCGCCACGAGGCTGAGCTGCCCACACCTCCCCAGGAGACAGAAGATGGATTATCAGGATAGGTGGTCAGGACTTTGTCCCCACGCCACTCAGGCTTCTAAAACTTGCTATCCTGCCCCAGTCCAGGCTTGTCTTGCTCAGGGCATCTTCAGCTGTCATCCAGTCACCTCTCCATACACCCATGCTGTCCCGGGTGAGGACTGGCTCAGCGTGGTGCTGCTCTCTGGTCTGCCTGCTCAGCATGGTGCTACTCTCTGGTCTGCCTGGCTCCTGCCATAGGGAGGCTGTGGGGGCCTGCCCTTCCTAGGCACCTAGTCCAGGCACTCCTAGTCAGGACTGAGGCCAAGGCACAGCACTTGAAGAGGTTTTAGCCAGACACTGTTAAATGGAGACATAACCACAGTTCACGGTAGTAAGCAAGACAATATTAGAAAGACTCAACACAGGCTGGAGAGCTGGCTCAGAGGTCAAGAGCACTGGCTGCTCTTGCAGAGGACCTGGGTTCGAGTCCCAGCACCACACAGTGGCTAACAACTGTCTGTAACTCCAATTCCAGGGGAATCCAATGCCCTGGACTTACTCTGTGGGCCCTGTACAACACAGGTGTACTTACAAACATGTGGGCAATATAATCACACACATAAAATAAAAATAATAAATGAGGGGCTGGAGAGATGGCCCAGCAGTTAAGACCACTGACTGCTCTTATAGAGGACCTGGGTTCAATTCCCAGCACCCACATGGCGGCTATGAACCGTCCTTAACTCCAGTTCCAGGGGAATCCGAAGCCCTCTTCTGACCGCAGCATTACACGCCATGTGTGCACTCACATACATGCAGGCAATACACTCAAACACACACACACACACACACACACACACACACACACAAAATAATAATAAATAAAATATTTTAAAAAAGAAAGACTCGACGCACACCTTCAATCCCAGCACTTGGGGACAGAGGCAGGCAGATCTCTGTGAGATCAAGGCCAGCTGGGGCTACAGGGAGATCCTGTCTCAAAAAGACAAAAAAAGGAAAGGCTCAACTCTCACACTAGGCTTCAGGGAAAGCAGCTTCCGGGTGCTGGGCCGGGGCTCGGGAATCCTACCACCTCTCATTCTCCCAGAGACCAGCAGAGCCATGCATCCTCTAAAGGGTCAGGGAAAGGGATGTGGCCTTGAGACCAGAAGTCCAGGCCCTTGGACTGCCTACCTACCCTATCATACCAAGGACTCTGCGCCACACCTGCCAGGCCCCCTGGCAACCACCTCACCAAGCCCTCTGGGAAAGACCATCAGATGCCACACTGGCCACAAGAGCCCATGGTTACCGTGGCAACCAGCCACAAGACATTTCTCCTGCAGCCAGTGCCAAGCTCTGACTTCTTAATTAAGGCCTGCTTGTCTCTGCCCGACTGTTGGCTAAGAAGCCTGATGTGGCTCAATTATGCTGTCCTTCCAAGTGACTGTATACAACAGACCTGGGGTCTGTGATCTGGGGCTGTGCATGTGATGATTAGGAGCAATGCTACCCCATAATTGTCATCCTCCTGGCCCAGAGATTTGGCATCAGCTCAGAGTAAAGGATGTTTGGACAGAAACCCTAGAGAATATGCCAGAAAGGGCGATGGTGTGGTCACTCTGGACCTCAGAGGGGGGCTCTGGACTATGACATGTGGAGCCCCTCCCCGAAAGTCATCCCTGACTCACACCAGGACCCTCCCCCAGGTGCTCAGCCTTAAAGCCCAGTGCCCGTCCAGCTGCACCTCTTTCTTTGTAGATTCCACATCTTCTGTATGTACAGCCATAGCTCGAGACTCACAGGCAGCAGCAGCGGGCGGGGGCGGGGGCGCCACAGACCACCTTGCACGCAGCCTTCTCTGCCAAGCTCAAGGCCAGTGGCTGGCCCTCCACAGCAGGAGCTGGCATTGCCGGGATCTAGCCTCCCTTCCTCTGGCCGTGGTCCCAGAGATGTGCCAACCTCAGGACCCAAGGTCCGGGTCTGGGAGACCCTGGGCTCTTCAGTGGTACCTCCCCCTCTACCTCCCTCCCGGGGGATGATGCAGATCAAGGGATAAGTGTAGCTTAGGCTGGATGGATGACCACCGATGACAGAGGGGGCAGGGTGGGGTTACAAGGTAATCCTTGGCTGCCTTCCCATCCTCTTCCAGGGCTGGACAGGGAGCATGGAGCCAGATTGAGGGCCCAGTTACAGTCAACCCCTCGGCTAATTTTTATGTAGGTTGGACGCAGAGCTCAGGTCCTTCGGGAGTGAGGACTGCATGCAGCAGGTGCTAGAAACATTAGTTGTACAAGAAGGAAGGATACAGGACAGCACACCCTCTGGTCCAGCTCTAGTCCCTGCCCAGTGCCAACAGAGGCAGGCAGAACACCAGGATCTCCCACCTGGAACGCTGTCCAGGAGAGCCTGTCCCATGGCGGGGCAAAGCCTGGCATCTGGGCAGGGCCGGTACTTGGGCCCATCTCCATTCTCTCCAGCACTTGGTGTCTGGTCTGCCCCATGCTCCAGCCCAGTCTGGCCTGGCTTGCTGACTTCCCTGGCACCAGCACCAATACCCAGCATGGGCAGCTCAACTGACCTGGAACGCTGAGTCCTCTCCACCCTGCAGGGCCCTTGCCGGCTGCTACACTTGCCCAACTGGTCAAGGTGAGCTTGGGGGGCGGTCTCAGACCTAACCAGGGGGCAGAGCCACACAGGGTCTGGTAAGGCTGCTCCCAGGGCAGCGGGGCTCTCCTCTAATCTCCTCAGCCCTACTCCGCCATGCCAGCTGACCCGCGAAGAGGTTAATAGTATGACCCTTTGAGGAGGGCAAAGGGAAGAACCCCAAGAATAGAGGGGAGCTATCAACATTCAGGTATGACCAGAGAACCAGAGGGCAGGGCACTGGTGACATCTCATAGACCTGCCCTTACCCTCTCCATGCTGGCCTCGATTTGGGGGTGCGAGGATCACTCCTTGAAGCCCCCCTGCCAAGCCACATGCCTTACTAGCTGTGTGTCTCAGGGTAAGAGAAGTCTCCCAGGGCTGAGCAGCTATGGGACCCAAGCACATTATAGATGGGGTTGAGGGGCTCTCCTTGAGACCATTCTGGGGTTCAGCAAGGACAGAAACTCTAGGATGAGTAGAGAGGGCTTCCAGAACCTGGGTAACTTACTCCCTGTGCTGAGGGTCTGTGGGCACAGGGGTTCCACCTCCAGACACCCTGGCCAAGGGTAGCAGGGTACACTCTGGACCCCCAGGCCCTCCTGGGTCTCTCCACCTCCCCGTAACACTCCTGCTCTGCTCTCCATCCTCTCCTGCCCTCTTGGGGAGCAGCCAGCCTGATGTGGCTGAGTGACAGTCCTAGAACCTCTGTCCCTCCAAGTCATCTCTTTGATCCTATAAGGCTTATCCATCACCTGTCAAGGTGCCCACATGCTGTAAGGAGCAGACAGAGGCTGGGCTGTCTAGGGTCTCTGGTAGGACTGTGTACACCAAATGCCCTCTAGGGCTTAGCATTTCCTATTAGCCACACCACCCCAATCTTCGGAGTGAAAAACTTC